AAATGAGACAATGGTCAAGTCCTTGGAAAACTACTTATAACGTTTGTTGTCCAGTCTCTGTGCAATGGGAAAGCACAGGATTTATCTGAAGTCCTGGCTAGAATAGTCTGTGAGGCTGGACTGTCTCAGTCAGCAGCCTTGAAACTATTCTGCATGCAGAACTCAGCTAAACTGCAACAGGGACAGTCTGAGAGCCTGGATCACCTGGGCTACTCATTTTCTCTGTTCTCTGTCCCCTTGCTCTAAAATCACACAAACTTTCAAAGGTAACATACGCATGAGCATTAACACAAGTATGGACTGTATGTTGTATACAAGCCAGCCAAAGATAATTTTTTGTTTTACGTTTAAGCAGGTAAAATATGCATCCCCTGTCTAGCAGTTTTTCTAGGTTTATTTATTTATATCTGTAGCCAGAATTTTCAGGGGCTCTTCCCCAATCAATCCTGATCTCTATTAACCTTGAATGAATCCATAGCCTTTCTCTTCCCCAACACAATACAGCTTAATTTTAAAGTTAAGACATTCATAAAGTATCTAGGTTGGTTCAATTCAGCAGTCCCTTTTAAAACCCCATTACTCTCAGCAGCTGCCCATGGCCCATCAGCATTCAAAAAACTCAGAGTTAACACAGCACTATATAGGATCCAGACTCACTGTGTATTTTCCATCTTTACATAGCTTTTTCCGTTTGTATTACTTTACTCTTTCTTTAAAGACTTTACTATTATTTATAAACTGTTTACTTTTTCTGTGACTGTCTATACCCATTTTCTTTTCTTTCTTAAGCCTACACACATTGTTAAAGACATTGCAGTAACTGGGTTTTTTTTCCCCTATCAGGATCTGTTTTAATTGTGTCTCTATCATTTTCTAACCACATGAGCCAAACTTTAAACTGCTAAGTGGCTTTGCACTCGTGGCTTTGGTGGCTGGCTCTACCCCACTCAGGCCCCCAAGCCTGGTGAGAGCTGCCTTCAACTGGTAACTTCATCTAACTACCCCAGCTCTAGGAAGCTGGTGCCTTGCACTGAGGCAGGTGTTTTTACTTAGCTTTTTGTTTCTACTTAACATACTGGCTTTTTTTTTTTTCTTCAACTATCTCAGGTTCTATGTGGAAATTTGGGCCCCACATTGGACCACCAAATGTACCAGGCTATTTCTTTTAAGCTACCAACCAGCTCCCAAATCATGACAATGGAGACTTATAATTAGTTAAGAATACTTGGCCTTAGCTTAGGCTCATTTCTTACTGGCTCTCATAATTTAAATTAACCTATTTCTCCTTATCTTTGTTTTTTCACCTTGGGGTTTTTTACTTTTCTTTCCTTCTGTATGTCTTACTCCATCTAGGTGCCTAGCTGGCCCTGGGTGTGTCCCTCTCTTTCTCTCTCATGCTCCCCTCCTTCTTCTCTCTTTTCAAGTCTAGATTTCTCCTGCTATTTTTCCCTTGGTCGGCCAGCATCTCCTATCCTTCTCCTGCCTGACTATTGGCTGTTGCAGGTTCCTTAGGCAGGCAAGCTGAAACAGCAACACATTTTTACATAATTAAACAAATGCAGCTTAAATAAATGTAACACACCTTTACACAGTTAAAGTAATATTCCAAAGCATAAACAAATGTAACACATCTTTGCCTAGTTAAAGCAATAGTCCACAACATCTGGCCTGGCCACAGGCTGTTCTATCTCTGTCCTTGTCTTTTGTAGGATATCTCTAACACCCATTGACATACTCTACTCAAACCCATTAATCAAAACCTTGCACTCTGGGGCCAGCACTGTGCCACGCCCCATCTCAGCCCACCCTGCAGCTCTTAGGTTCATCTTTAACCTCCTTGTAAAATTTTTTCCAAACTCAAGAGCCTGGTGTGTGATGGCCCATGAGGCCTCCTGATGGGAAGCTTTCTGTTTTTTTGTCAGAGGCTGGTATTCAGTCTCTTAAAGTTAGGTTGCACATGGTTATATCTTATCCTATCTGTATCTATAGCTATCATTTGTGTGTTGGAAACCTAATTTCAGTCCTCTGCAAGAGCAGCAAGTGTTCTTAACCACTCTCTAGTCCCAACATAAAGCTGTCCTGGCTGTCCATGCTGGCCTGCTAGGAGAAATTCACCACCCCTCACAGCCCAGTGTCTTGCCTGCTTTGAGTCTAAATCCACAGCTGTGCTGCACCATGAAAAGGCTGTCAGTCTGACTGCCAGTGTCATCCTGACTGCAAACAGAGATACATGGAGAGCACCAGGATGGGCTTTACCCTACAACTGTCACTTTAGTTGGTAAAACCAAGTCACCAGGGATGTGGTAAAGACCCAATAGGCTTTCTGAGCATTATCCTTGTTCCTTGCAGAGCCATGGAGTAGGCTCTGTGGGTGTTCTCATACACACCACTAGTCTGGGCCTACCCAGGGTTACTCAGGACAAGATGCCCAGGGGTATTTGATACCAAAACCAGGGTGTTCAGGATCTGGTTCAGAATTGTTCCTCATAGCTCATTACAGGCACCTTGCACACATGGTCAGAAACCATGCCCACAGTCAGCACTGGCATCTGTAATCAGGACCCCTGGCTGTCCTGTAATCAGCACCTGCGCCCATGAATAGCACTCATGCCGATTGTCAGCACCTGTGTCCATGTGCACCTGTGCTCAGCCCCTGTGTCCATGCTCAACACCTGTGTCCATGTGCACCTGTGTCCATGTGCACCTGTGCTCAGCATCTGTGCCCATGCTCGGCACCTGTGCCCATGCTCAGCACCTGTGTATGGAGCCTGCAGACATGTCTCATGCCTATGGTCAGCATCAGTGTCCATGTTCATCACTCATATCTGTGATCAGCACTGTTCCCTGGTCATCTCTAGACATTCTCTGTTAGCACCAGGTTTCTGCTGTTCATCACTTAATGCCAAGGGGTCATCTGTGCTCCAGAAACTGAAGGTCCTCCCAAACATGGAAACTTTTTCTCAATATTTTCAGCCTGGAGTACTGTTAGCATAGACAAAAAAAATTAAAAACAAAAAGTGCAGCTTGCTGTGAGCACCTTTTGTGAGAGTTCCGTTTGAGCAGAATCCAAATATATTTTAAACCCAAATTCCATGCATTTTACAAATTGCTTTTTGTTGTTGTTGATGTGTGTGCTTTCTTAATTTCTGGTAATGCTCAAGCGTGTGGTCCCTTCTGTATGGCTTTCCTAAGTCTTGATCCTTTCAGCTGCCAGAAATTAAAACAAAAAGGCCATATGACTCCTTGTTCTGACGCCCGAGGTTCCCTAAAGAAAGCCATTGTTAACTGCAAATTACACTGAATAACTCACTTGGTATGGGCTTTTCTCTAAATTCTAATTATTAATAATTACCCTAAAGTTTTGGAGCTGAGTGTAAAAGGAAATATTCTTGTTCCTACACACCATAAAGTCCATGACCCCTTCCCATTCTGCCCCCAGTGGACCCTCCTGAAGAACAGGGGGAGGATGCAATATGCATTTGACCTTGTATGAAATAAACATATGCATGGAATATAGCACCAACCGTGTGCTGCTTTAATGACTGGGGTCAGTTAATCATTCCTCAGCAATAAATGTTACAATATATAAAAGATTATTTTTATAAAGGATTATTGATGAAAACTATCATCTCACTTATCTGGAGTTCTTAAGCATATTTTTGCACATAGGGTGCTAGTGAAGTTCAATCAATTAATTAGACAAGAGCAATTTCATAATGTTACCACTTCATGGCAGTAATATAAGTCCTCATGTAGAGATTTGGAATGAAGACTGATCAGGGGGTGAGTGAGCTGTGACCACTGGTCCTGTGTCAGGGCCCAGCCATCCCAGAACACCATGTGAGTCATGATGAGCTCATCTCAGAATCTTTCTGTGGGCATCCTGGGTCCAGGTTGCTCTAGCCCTTCCAGAGTCCAGCAGCTTAGTCCTCTGCGAAAGCAGAGTCTTGTCTTTCAAAAATCTAATTCTCTGAACATGAAAAGCAGGATGGAGGCTGAGCTGCAATCAGGATGCTCAAAACACATTGTCAATGATGTGCATGTGTATACATGTTGTTATGTGTGCACCACACATGTGTCTATGGGTGCAGGTGCGTGTGTGAGCATGTTTGTGTGAGCCTCAGGTTGAGGATGGGCACCCTCCTCGTTCCCTCTCTCAGTGGACCAGATGCCCCACAATAATGGCTGGCCAATGAGCTTCAGCGGTCTTCTGTCTCCACCCCTCAGCTCCGGGATTAGATGCACCCCACCACACCGAGCCTTTTACATGAGTGCTGAGGATCTGAACTCCGGTCTTCATGCTTACAAGGCAAAAACTGTATTGACTGAGCCACCTCCCTAGCCTCAAATGCTTAACTGTTTAAATTATCTTAAATAGGTTTGCCTTGGTGGCAGCATAGCTGGCATCTTCCCTGGCCAGAGCTTCTCTCCTTACCTCCTGTCCACAAACTTAAAAAAGGTAAGGGTAGATTCCACGTGGTGACTCAGCCCTGTCAGTCCTGGTGTGGAAGAGAGTGTTGGCTGGCATCCTAACAGGGACCACAGGCAACCAGAGATTGGAGCCTGGCTAGAATTCCAGCAAATAAGGTATCACTGACAAACACCTCTTCCTCTGAGAATACCTCCAGCCAAAGTTACTCCCTAGAGCAGATTCCAGAACATACAATGGAAATCAATCACCTTTGACCAGTGGAATAGGGATTTGTGAAACCAACATGGAGCCCATCCACAAGATGAGTCCTCCATAAACCCGTCAGAATATGGAGGGGGGAGCCCGTGACTCTCTCCTTCTCCTCATCTTCCCTCCCACTGTTACAACACTGTATCTAATTGACTTACAATTTTTCCCTAATATAATTCTTTATGAAACCTGCCTTGAGCAAAGGATCCATGATTGCTCACCGAGGGTCGTGCCTCATTTGTTCCTGTAGATTGTGCCTAATTAACGCTAACTTGTCTGTACATAAAAAGTACAATAGACTGTCCTTTCCAATTTAATTCCGACAGTTTAATCGAATCTGTGTTCTTTCAAAAATAATTAGATCATTTACACTTCATTAACATGTAATGTAATGTTGGGACATCCATCATAATGATTTCTTATTTTTCTTGTGCAATATTATCCCCTCTAATGAAACTGCTAGCACCATGCATGCCTTAATTAGCTGTATCATGTCACTGACGATTTCTGAATAAGGTTCTTTTTACAGATGAAATTGCATCATCTCAGTAGGTACATTTTCAGCAGGATATGCTCTTTTTCTGTTGTGAAAACACCTTCCCAGGGTCCAATCTCACAATGTCATGACTGGTACCCTCCGGAAGATCTAATGGGAACTCTGTTAGAAGGAAAGACCATGTGAACATGGTGGGCCTGACTCTCCAAGACACTCAGCATGTTAGCACAGAAGAAGCAGTGTGTAGGACATGACTGTCTGGCTGAGTCACTAGCCCACAAAGAACAGAGTGGTACTCCTGCAAACGCTCAGGCAAGTGTTATCTTCTGAGAATGGTGGTTTTGCAGCCCCAGCTGGTTCAGGGAGGCAGAAGAAGGAGCTGTCAGGCCATGTGCCATACTCTTTTCTGTACAGCAGCTGCATGAGGTCCAGCATGATGTCTGAGGAAAGTCATATTTGGTTCTCCTCTGAGACTCAGCCAATGTGACAGGTGAGTGGATGGTGGGGTGAGGTGGCCACACAGGCAGCCACTGTGTCAGCACATCTGCATACTGGGCAATGAGGGTGCTTCCAGCACGGAAATGAGCAGCTACTGTGCCTCAGTTTCCAGACACGTTTGCCTTCCCTAAAAGCTTTGCTAAGATACAATGACAAAAGTTCCACATATGGATATGTGATATAAGATGGTACATAACATGATGTGAGAAAAATAAAAGTGTATTGTGGTTCCATATTGAAGGTCTGGAGACTTTGTTTTCTTGCCTCACCATGGCTTCTCTTCTTTCTGTTCACCAGGTTGAAGCATTTGTTGTAGTTGGCTCCACTTATATTTGTGAGCACAAAAATGATGTTTGTGATGAGATTCATTTTGGAAAGATTAAGTTATATTGATTAACATGTCTATCCACTAAAGCTTGCCACTTTTTCAGGGTGAAAACATGGGAAATTTCCTCTCTTTCCAACTTTCAGTGTGTGACAAATGCTGTCAACTCCTCAGCATGCTGTTCAGGTCTCCATAACTTGCTCCTCCTGTCTGAGATGCTGTACCTTTGACTGACACCTCCTCAATACCACCTCTATTCCACAGCCATGGTTTCCATCTGTCTCTGTCTCTGTCTCTGCCTCTGAGGTGAATTTGTATTACAGAGATCAGAGAACCTCTCTATTGTCTCTTCTAGTGTAAGTCCTCTAGCTCCTGCATTTTGTCACAAATGGCAGGGTCTCTTTCCTGCACAGGGATAAATAGTATCAAGACTCAAAACACACAAACATAAAAACACCCTCTTAGATATAACAGTTCAGTAAAGTTTGTAGGATACAAAATCAATACACAAAAAGCTGCAGAGTTGCTACACATTAAGCAATCAATGATCCAAAAAAGCAATCAAGAAGACAATTTCACCTACATCGAAAACAAAACCAAATACTTAGGAACAAATGCAACCAAGGAAGTAAAACCAGACCCACAGAATGAAAAATGTAAAACACTGTGAAAAGAGATGGAAGATGACATAAATAAATGAGGTTATTCCATGTTCCTGGACTGAAAGAATTAATACTGCTCAAATAGGTATATACTCTAAATGAGCTACAGATTCAATGCAATACCCAAAAAAATTCTAAAGGAATTTTTCTCACCACCCTAACATTTCTATGGACTCACAAAAGACTTTAATTGCCAATGCAATCTTGAAAAAAGGAAGGAAAAATTGATGGTGCCACCTGGGCTAATTTTAAAATATATTCCAAAGTGACAGTAATCAAAACAGAATGGCACACACATTCAGACATTAAAATAAACACAAAGATTAATGGTATACCAAAGAAAGCCAACCCAAAAAGATTGGGATAGCCTTGGGTGAGATCTGACCTCTGAGCCAATGGTGCCCTTGTACATGGTGTTTTAACTCTGCTGAGAAATGGCCCAAGAAGAGAAGAGAGTATATTCATCAGACCTGAGCCTGGATGTCCCAACTGCTCTACCTGCCCTAAGTCAGGAATAAATCTAGTTAGTGTGTGGTTGCCTACAAACTTAAATAAACCAAAATAAATCTACAAACTTACAATTTATCTTTGACTAAGATGCCTATACACATAGTGGAGAAAGGAGAGTCTTTTCAGTAAATGGTGTCAAGAAAACTTGGTATACATGTACAAAATAAATGCACATTTATTTAAAATAATGTAAATACTTAAACAGAAGAAATTATTATAGGATTTTACAAGGGCACACTCCCTGATGCTGATCAAGTGGTGGGTTTTGTTTAAATTGATACCCAAAGCAACAACAACAACAACAACAACAACAAAAACAACAACAAAAACAGAAACACCACAGTAAACCAGAAGTCTTCAGCACAGCAAAGGAATTAAGCAACAGGGTGACAAGATAGCCCATGGGGTGGAAGAAAACATTTGCAAGCCAGACATCTGATATAGGGTGACATCTAAAGTGTGTAAAGCATGCAAACCACTCAACAGCAACGAAGTCAATTATCTGATTTTAAGACGGGCAAAGGACATGAAATGACAGGACTTGAAAGAAAGTATGCAGTGAGTATATGAGAAAGTGCTCAGTATCAGCCACTGTCAGGAAGAGTGTAAATAAAAATCACAGTGGGGCCTCACCACACATCCATTAAAATGGCTGTTATCCAAAAGAGACAACAACCACTGGTGAAGAGGGCAAATGAGAGAATCATTGCGTCCTGTTGATGGGATTAGGTCTATATGAAGGGGGTTCCTCTGGTACCAGTTGCATCCTCATGTGGATATACATTGAGATGAGAAGAAACAGAAAGTACAACAGACACCTGTGCTCCCTGTTCATGGTGGCGCCACTCATAACAGCCAAGACAGGGATCAAGCTGTGTGCGTGTGATAGACTGCCAACATTCAGAAAAGGGTGTCCTGTCAGATCCTGTTCAGGGCCCTGAACACGTCAAGATTTAATGGCTGCCCAGGAAGGTGTGCTCTGTGGTAGTCGCCTTGACATCCAGGAAGACAAAAGTATCACTAGGTCACCAAAGGACTGTGAACAGTGTATTGTGATATAGAACTGCGACTCCTCCATGCACCCCACAGCATTTCTGGGTGAGGACTTGGACCTTGTGTCTGCTCTCACTCCAGCCAGAGGATGTTCACAAAAGCCAAAACCAAGATGGAACTGGTTGGGATAGCCTTGAGTGAGATCTGACCTCTGAGCCAGTGGTGCCCTTGTACATCGTGTTTTAACTCTGCTGAGAAATGGTCCAAGAAGAGAGTATATTCATCAGACCTGAGCCTGTATATCCAAACTGCCCTACCCGCCCTAAGTCAGGAATAAATCTAGTTAGCATGTGGTTGCCAACAAACTCAAATACCTGGAAACCAGAGACTGGATAAAATGGAAGTCAGGGAGAACATGACTACAATACTAAACACGTCCTCTCAGATGGGAGAACTGAACTGTCCCTGCGGGGCAGGTGCAGAATACCCCACTCCTATTGGGGTCCCTAACTCCAGGTTCAAGCCATGGTTAAACACACTGCTGTCCATCAAAGGCTATGAGCCACGCCCACACCCATCTCGGTGTGTTTGTGGCTGTGGGTGTTGTTTTTCCTACTACCCATTCTTCCCATCTTTCCCCCACCATTAAATTAGCAGAAACCATGCATCAGTTTGCTTTTGGGCAAAGAAAATGGAGGAGCAGAAAATACAGCAAGTTCGGCATGATTAGATGCTTCGTGTTTACCTTCTCCTTCGTGGAAGCCATGAGGAGTGCGTTGGGTGACGACAGGACCACAAAGTGGAGGTAGCCAAATGCGGCTCTCAGACGTGGAGTCCTTTGAAAGCAGCACAGCATAATTGTCCTGGAAAACATTTTGGGGACTCCAGGCTGCTAATTAACTGCTAGTGCATCAATTAGTTATAATAGCTGTAATAGCACACAAACAAGGGCACGGGGCTCTGCGCCGCTGCGCTGCTATGTGAATTTGGTGAACATTTTTTCAAACCTTTCCTTTGAAGATTTAAGTTAATAATTTATTCCTAATGAATGGAGTCTTTCTGTTTCCCTGGTACAGAGAGTATTGAAATGACTGGAAGATGCTATTAACAGGACTTTGTTTCAAAGAAAACTTCCAACACATAGAGCAACATTTCCATGTCAGTGTTTCTATTCTCCATCCCAGAGGCCATGGTGAATTGAGAGCCTTAGTGTATAGCGAAGCTACAGGAAGTTGATGTGTGAGTTTTTGGGGTTTTTGTTTTTGTTTCCCTAATGATAATTATTTGACAGCATGTCATGAAAATGTATTCCTGTTTTCTACAGCATCACTGAGCACATATAGCATCACATGATACATGAAAAAAAAATAGTTTCTAATGAAACATAATTGTGCCTGAGATGCTCACCCATTCTTGCCTAACAGGAAGACATGGTTCATGGAAGAAAATCCATTTTTCTTAAAAATAAATTTCAAGTAGTGAAAACCTCCCAGCATGCATCTATACTATCCAAATCTGGGCAGTTGCTCTTGCAAACACAGATCTGGGAACCCTATTTTTTCCCCATCTTTCTCTTTCCTCCAGTTAATGAAATGTCATGTCTTCCTCTTGGGCTCCAAGTTGTCTTCTTCTTGCTTCCTTCATTCCTCTGTAACTATCCTGCTGTGATGAGCAGCTACTCTGGGACTTCCCATGAACCCACTCACTGACCCCATGACCAAGTGACATGCTCTCCATGTCACTTGAAAACACATGTGTTGCAGATGAGGAAGCCTGTGTAATATAGCAAGCAGAACAGTGTCCATGGTCTCCAAGAATTTGAGTTGGCAGTTTTAGAACACATTACCAAAATGTTTGATTTCACAAACAGTTTCTAAAGTTGGTCTCTGCATTTTTGTAAGCCATTGTCTGGCTGAGGTTCCCTGAGGTTCTAGTCTGACAAGAACAGACTCTTCTGAGCTAATCCACACAGTTGGCTCGAGAAAGGTATCAAATAGTCACAGAGGAAGACTTAGTAATCCTTGTTCCCTATTTTGATAACCCCTTTCACTCAAGATTCAATAAATAACCTCTAAGCCTCTTACTTGACTGGCACTTGCTAGGGACAACTGGATGCAGAGAAGGAAATCCAAAGATGAGTAAGACCCAACCCTACACCAAGATGCTTGGAACCTAGTTTTGTGGGAGAGAAACCAAGTGAACTGGAAGCAGAGATGCTAAGCCTGGGGTGGACTGGCTGACATGAGGGCCAGAAGAGACAGTGCCTTAGTCATGTCTGTGAACATCAGGTATGGTGGTTAGAGCTTGTAATGTCGCACTGAGGGAGGCAAAGACAATCAGATTCCTGGGGTTTGCTAGCCAGCAAGCCTACCATATTGCTGATTCCAGGCCAATGAGAGACATTGTGTAAAATAAATGAGGTGAGCAGCACTTGAAGAAATATATCCAGTTTACACAGGTACATAAACATGCATGTGTAACTGTATGGAAATGTGTGCCCACAAATGAATGTGTACACATATACACACAAAGAGGGAAGGGAGGGAGGGAGACAGACTGACTGACAACTGACGACTGACTGAACAGTGGCTGTAAACCCTGCCCAGTAACAAAGTAGGGAAGACCTCAATGTCATCAGAACTGGCCAACCACATCCAGCAAACACATGAGCAATGGTAATGAGGACTAGCAACAAAAACAGGGATCCACAGACAGACCTCTGTGGGCGAAGGCAAGCTCCCATGGGACTGTCAAGTGTTCCATGCAGCACTACTGTGTTTGAATAGCCTTAGGCAGCCCTGCACATTTAGGCAAGGCAGAGCTGGCCATTGGGAAGATAAGAGATGTTCTGCAAACAGACTTCCTGAGGCTTTGAGAAGAATGAACTCAGACTGCAGACAAAAAGAGCCCATGGTCCAGGGGTATGACGCCAGTAACTCTCCATTGCACCTATAGTCCAGAGCCTTACAGGTACAAAGATATTAGCATCTATCCAGGGCATCCTTTGCCTGACTAATCAAAGCAGTCTAACCACGGAAAGTAAAAGTTAAAAGAGGAAAAAATAAACCAGAAGGTCCTAGAAGCTGTGGCCTGCACAAGCTGCCCTTAAAAGCACTGGTGTCTTCATTTACATGGAAGTGGATGCCTGACCTCTGACCCTCTTCTGAAGTGGTACTCATGGTTCATGAAGCTTCATCCCCAAGACCCAGTGGGTGGAAAACTGACAGGTTTTCTCTTTCATTCCCCATTTGCATCTCCCCATGTCATTCATATACACTGAGTGGCTTCCAGTGGTCAAAGACCCCCTGCCCTCAACATAGGGTAGTTAAGGACCAGCCACTGTGGGAGACAGGAGCCAGTGGAGAAAGAGGATGAAGAAGAGGTGGCCTTCCTCCTGCCTGGATGGACTCTTCACCCCAGGGTCCATACAAGTGTCATTTCCATGAGGATTGAGAGGGGAGAAAGTAAACGTGTGGATCGGATGGCCTTTGTGCAAGGGAGCACAGGGCATGTGTTTTGAGCCTGGTCAGGTAAGTGGGGCCACTGGCAATTGGAGCCCATTGAGAAGCAGGCATTTCACTGAGCACAGCTAATTCAGCCTGTGTCATCGTCTCACCACACTAGATAATAACTACACTCTCACATTATCAGAAGGAAAAGGCCTTTGAAATCAACTTGTGGCGATAATAAGATGATGAGCTGAGTCTATAAAACCTGTAGACATGGGACCTATGATTCTATAGTCTAGGGACTTGCAAACCTTGACCCTGACCTTAAAACCCCAGACCCTCATTTCTCCATCTAGAGAGACATAGGTCCATAAGGGTCAAAGTGTCATGTCAGGGTCTGGAACGTAGACCCTGACTCTGTGGCAGAGTCCTTGCGTCACAAGCATAAGGCCCTGTGCATGGGGTGTAAGATGTTTGACATCTCCATAGTGTATTGCCCCAGCACCTATAAGAAGGTCAAGATGGAGAGGAAGGTACAGTGGCCCCAGGTGTTGCAGACAGAGGGTGGATGTGTGCCTAACAAGACAGCAATCTGCTTCACAAGAAAAAAAGCACAGATCATGTGGGCCATATTTCTCAGCAGCCAAGGACAAGGCCTCAGCTGCACCAAGATACAGGAATGTGGCAAGGCATATCTAGCCCTTGCACTTCCTGCTGATCCCTGAAGAAATGGTCCCCCAAAGACACTGCCATTTGATAACCAGGAACTCATAGGAAACCTAAACTTTTTAATTAAGGCTCTCCCTCAGCCCCCATCTGGATCCAACAGCTGTTGTGAGGTGGTTAACTTTTGAAGATTATTAATGTGTTTTTATCTGGTGTGAGGAGAGACGTGGCTTCTGCCAGCCTCCTCCCCAAATACAGCTGTATCCCAGCTGATCCCTGCCTGCCATGGAAGCCCACAGGCTGTAGACAGCTCTGCCAGTGCCTGCCACGATCAGATGGCCAAAGAGCTGTTACCTGGAGCCAGATCATCCCCAGAGCAACCATTCCAGGATCAGCGATCACTGGGACGTGCCTGCATGGCCGCTTCCAGACACTGTCAAGTCCAGAGCATTGATCCTATGTTTGCTGTGAAAAGAAACTGAAGCCATGCTCTCATTAGACGAAGCAGTTCTGGTGAAAGATCACAGGGAGAGGTCTCTTCCTTTTGTCCACGCTGAGTGGCCACAGCAGGCAGCTTCTTGTGCACAATTGATTTCAAGCAGAGTTTTGTCTGAAAGATACTTCTAGATTATGGCAAGAAAGCATTCTATAACCCTCCTGCCAATGCAGTTATGTTTACAGACAGGCCACTCCTATCACTGACTGATAACACTTAACTCAAAACATATTTCAGCTTGGGGAATGTCAATATTTTGCCTCTGACTGAAGGTGACCCCTACTCCATTTGTTTGTTAGTGTGCACCACAGCTTGCTGGTGACTGTGAGGGTGGCTGTGTGGGAGCCTCTTATGGATTTGCTATCTTAGCCTGAAGTGCTTGCTGCTGATTATGTGATTAAATCAATAATAATTTCTGCTTGGATCCTGTGCTGCCCGGCTCATCCCTGAGTCCACACCTTGGCACAGAGGAACACACACTGGACCCTTGAGTGCTTTGTTGTGGAGAAAATGCCCAAGGTATGGCAGGTGGCCCTTCTATCTCTCTAGAAAGCAAAAATATTAGAACAACTCTGCAGATAATTAAGCCAGTAGTTCTGGGCTGCAGAGGAGGGGGCCTGGCAGGTGGAGCCTGCATGGCTGAATCAATGGGATTGTTTTCTCTGCTACAACCTGAGCCCTTCATATCCAGAGCCTTCATTTCATATTAAACAGATGTTCCTGTAAAGGGGGGAGGTGAGCTTCTTAACAGCTGTGACACTCACCCCTCTGGCCATTTGAAGAGCCTCCCAGAATCCTCTCTTCTCAGAAATCACAGCTGGCTTGGCAGGATGGACCATTGTTCCTAACACCCCTGGTCCACAGAAACCATATTCATTCCTGGACGTTGTGGCTTGGGATACACTCAGTGGCATAGTTAGTGGCTTAGTTTATAGCAAAGGACATCAGAAATGCAACTTGTCATCATTCTTGTATGTATCTATAACATGCTGTTATATAGAAAGGACTTTTATGTCTGGGCCATTCTCCTTCATCCTCCTGGCATGGAGGTATCAAGAGAAATGCACCTTCTCCAACCATGAGGCCCTCAGCAATGTAATCCCAGGCAAGTCAATCTCCTAATGAAAATTGCTGGACACCAGCAGATCTTTTAAAAATTAGAACATCTGGTCAGTCACCTTCCCCACATGGGTACACAGCACTTTGTCAATAGGCAAGCCAGAAAAGTGATGACGATGAAGGTAGGGCAATG